TATAAAGTTTGTTTCGGTACTTGAATAATGCCTCAAATGGGTCGATCTCTTTTTTACTCGCACCAGCTTTTTTGAGCATTCTTTTGGCAGTTTGTACAGCTCTCTCAGCTCCACCATTTGACTGAGGATAGTCTGGCGAGCCAGTAACATGCTGAAATCCCCATTCCTTAGCAAATTGTTTAAATTCATGACTAATATCAAACAGATTGCGTGAATTACTGTATTGAGGTCCATTATCACTTGTTCTGGTACCCACACCTTGCAAATACTCTTTCAGGTTATCAGGAAGGAAAGCATGTCGCACCCCGCTGACAAAGCAATTTAATCAGTTTCACGATACTTAGAATAGAAATCAGCTGCCAATAAATAGGTCTTTCCCGCATGTTCAAAAACGTCTGTACCCACAACTTGCCAAGGTGAACCTGAAATGTCATGTGGATTCAGTGTTTTTCTCTGTTGATTATTTCAATAGGCATTACAAATTTGACAGGAATTAACCTTATCCTTGATTCTATCATTGACGGCCAAAATACGTAATCTCGATCTAGCAAAACAGACACCTTTGGATTCTTCGAGAATAGCACTGTGTATTTCATCCAATATTTCACTTCTCATTCTTCCTGGAACAACCAATCTCTCAGTCTTGAACAATAAGCCATCTTCCAAACTTAATTCTTCTCTGTAACTCTAATACTCTCGTGCCAGTTCACCAACCTGGTCTTTAAGTCCAGACCAGCCTTTCCCCACACACTCGATTTACCAGTCTAGAGGTTTCATCAACACTGGTTGCATCTCTGAACTTTGACATGGCACTTTCTTCCATTCCTAAACTATCAATTGGACCGACTCCAATTTAATCACCAAAGTCATCAGTCGATTCGAGAGTGCTGATGGACGCTCGCCATGACAATCAGAAATCACTTGTTGCTTCCCTTGAACATATCTTACATCCAGTAGTATAATGTAAGTTTTGACAACATTTGTTGTAATCTTGGCGGCGTCTCGTAAGTGGTTTCCTAGAAGTAGTTTGCAAGTAGTTATGCTCTGTTACTACAACTACTATCCGTTTGTACATATAGGTATGAAACATTTTCATCCCCCACATAATCGCCAATAATTCTCTCTCAATATTTGCGCATATCTCTGTTCGCAATTAATTAATGTTCTCGAACCGTATGCCACAGCTTTACCCTTTTGTAGTACTACACCACCAAGCCCAGTGGTGCTTGCATCAACACTTAACACGTTTCTTTACTGTTATCAAAATAATCTAGTGCTCAGCTATATTAATGCCGAGTTTGTCCACGTTTTAAGCAATCAGTGCACGCGAGGAACACGCGAGATTTTTAGAGACGCGTGGCTGTGATACAACAGTGAGATATTACGTAAAAGGGTTTTATATTTTGAATAGTACTATAAAATTTACAAGAGATTAATTATGGCGAGTATATTCGTTTTATGAATTCAAACCTTCGCGTGTGTTTACCAGGTTAGTATTTTTATAATTTATACACCAATAAACGCATTATTTTTACTATATGTTATATCTAGTCAACTGTCAAGAACTTAAAACCCACAATGGTTAATATCTATCTATGTATCTATCTATCTTGTGCGACTGCGAAGCTTTGAATTAAACTTCGAATATTTAAATATCCAGCTGTTGCCAGTGACTTGCCAAAGGCTGTTTCATAAAATATCACGTCGCGGCGTTGTTTATAGAAACAGAAAATGATAACAGAATGGCAGTATCTTTCAATTTAAGTATCTGAGAACAATTTAAACAACAATACATCACACGAAAATGCAAAAAGGAGAGCGTTTTTACAGCTCCCCAAAGCATTTGTTTTGTGCCAGGCAGTGCCAGTGTGTAGTATACTGTATAAACAATATCATAATATATGTAGCATTTTTACAGCTTAACACGACTACACTGTATATTAAAACGTGAAATACATTATTTACTCTGTCTATTAATGCCGGACAATTTTAGTTGTCAGGGGGCAAGCACCTTAATTTTCCACTGGCTGCTGAAAGACTCTAAGGTCTTGACAACTTGCTGACTAAAGACTTGAAGTCTTTCCCCTATTTACAGTACAGGTATAATATTAAGCTTAATTAATTTATCATTTAAATGTTTATTTATACTATCCGTACTGTAAAACAGTTTTCACTGGCTGCTGAAAGACTAGGTCAAATGTGAAATACATTATTTACTCTGTCTATTAATGCCGAACAATTTTACTTGTCAAGAGGCAAGCACCTTAATTTTCCACTGGCTACTAAAGACTCGAAGTCTTGACAACATAAGTTTCCACTATTCACAGTATACTATTTAGTTTAATTTATCAGTTAATAAAATGTTTAATTATGCTATCCATACTGTAAAACAGTTTCTACTGGCTGCCGAAAGACTCTAGGTCTTGACAACCTGCTGACTAAAGACTTGATGTCTTGACAACATAAGTTTCCACTATTCACAGCATACTATTTAGTTTAATTTATCATTTAATTAAATGTTTAATTATACTATCCATACTGTAAAACAGTTCCACTGGCTGCCGAAAGACTCTAGGTCTTGACAACCTGCTGACTAAAGACTCGAAGTCATGATAACATAAGTTTCCACTATTCACAGTATTCTATTTAGTTTAATTTATAATTTAATCTTTTAATTTTAATTTATCTTTACTTTTACAGGGTTAGTTTCCACTGGACACCTGACGAAAGACTCTTGACAACATATATTTTAGCAATTTAGAGAATGAAAATAGGGTGATCATTGTAAATAGTTTTTCTAATGTACATAGTGGCAATGCACCGGGCTCTGCTATTTTACTCTGTATAATGCCAGGCAATTCAGGTTTGTTATAACGTCTTCATTTCTGCAATTTGTGTATATAGGTGCAGATGCTGGCAAAATTACAGCCTTCATTGTACATTTTCCTTCAAGATTCTCATTACTTCTGGCATAGTTGGTCTCGACGCTGGCTTGGCATCTTTGCAATGCCTTCCTAAGGATTCCAGACAGGCGTTTGGCTATTTCTTTCCAATGGTATATATGATTACCCCAAACGAAAAAACGTCACCGGATGTACTCACAGGCTGACCTCGCAAAACCTCTGTGGCAATATGGTTGTAAAAAGAAGTGTACTTTCGAGCTTTTGGTCTAGAAATTAAGCAAGCCTTACCAAAGTCTGTCAGAAAACCTTTCTTTCCTGTAACAAGAACATTGTTTGACTTGACATCACAGTGCAAAAAACCCTTGATGTGAACATAAAAAAGAGCTTCTGCAATGTCAAGTAAAACTGAGATCCACTCATTTTGCGGAAAGTAACAAATGTTTTGGTATGGTTTGGTGCAACAACTTATGAATTGTTACTGATTCCAAATTCTCATCACCAACAAACGGCATAACTAAAGAGAAAGGTTTTTCTTCAATTTGGACCCCTAATAAATATGGAATAGAGGCATGAGTTAGTGTATTCATATATTGTGCCTGATTCATAACTGCTTTTAAATCGGATGTTGGCAGCTTCTTCTCAACAACAGTAATCCCAAATCTCTTAAACGTTGTAAGTAGAACTGAAATAGAACTCGTTTTGTGGCAGTATTTCATGCAAATTTGGCTTGAAAACTCGTTGCTAAGGCGTTGCTAAGGAGATTATTTCAAAATAATATCAATTTTTTGCTTTTTTCGCCCGGATAAACGAAATATTTCATAAAATGAGCAATGTTATCATAAACTACAGTAGTTAAAGTACCTTAAAAACATAAAAAATTTTTTTTCAATTTTTCTTTAAAAATCAGTTCTAGAAGGGGTATGACCACCTTAAACGTTTTAAGAAAACAATCCCCATAGGTTCCATAGCCAACAGGAATAGTAGCTGAGTTATTTACTTCCAATGGCAACAACTCACATAGCCTAATTTGTTTTACTGAAGCAGTACTCATTTTGGTTAGTGAGGCATTACCAGTTGCAGCAGTATCCATTGAAACCTTTAACATTAGTAATAGAATTAAATTTCTATGTAAAAATTAATGTAGCCAACAAATAGTAAATCTGGTATTGTACTTTTAATCCCTCTCAATATTTATTTTGGTATAAGTTATTGTGTGGTGGTGAGTAGAATACATGCTTCCAGAAAGTACATCGTCTTGGCTACAGAGCCATGTTTTCATGGTTGAGATGCTAGGGTTTACATCATGTACTTGAAAACGAGATTCTATCGCCTACTCTATAGCCAATGATGTTCTGTACATTACCCTTTCGACAACTTTTTTTTAATTTGCATGCCAGGAAATAAATATTACCATTTTTTGAAAGGGCATGGCAAGGGAAACTGGTTGGTATGAAAAATTTTTTTCAAACTCATTAATTAGGCTAATTAGCCAATATGGCCGCTGTCAAATTAGTGAAAATACCACTGCGCGCTGAACATCATAACTTGAGCAAAAACCATTGTAATGCCACAAATGATATATTCTTAGAAAGCTTACAACATGAGCTAGTGCCTGACACTCTTTATTTTGATGTAACATCATGTTTAAAAATATTCTGTGATAAAATGTAAATTTTAGCCAATATTTTGAATTTTTAATTGCTAATTAGTAGGAAAATATGCCAGAAATTACTCATAATAAAAAATATTGACATTTGAAGAGTGTCAGGCACTAGCTAAAGGTATATACAATAAGTATACCAAGTATCAACCTTCTACTTCAAATATTAAAAAAGTTATGATGTCACAAAGATTACTCGTGATTAGAAAATCACCAAATAAGGAAAATGTAATGTTAAAGTTTCCTTTCATGTTGGTTTGTCTTGAAAAGGTTCAGAAGCTACCTGCTTCGTATGTTATGCCTTCATTTGCCTCAGTTGAGTCTATATAGCTCTTCCTGAGGTGCCTCAATGTTTTTCTTCTGATCTTGACATTATCTTTGCACTTTTTGGCCGACAGTTTGATCCGGGTGGTGTCGCAATCTTGGGCGCCTTTACAAGTAAAGACACCCGGAGTAATGTCCAAGTCCTCAAATATTTTCAGGAAGGATATATCTCCATCGTTGAATTTGAGGACAGCCAAATAAGTAGCCAGGGCTACAGTTTCTTGCTCCACATAGGTTGTTTTGGGGCATCTGTCCCAAATCATACCATTCAAACACTCATTAACATTCTGCGTCAAGCCATGCGTACACTTTTGCAACAGGTCAGGCTTACTTAGGTCATCAAATATTGGTTCAATTAATTTTACAATGCACCCTGGAATGCCATTCTTGTGTTTGTAGGACTCTTGATCTCTCTTGTACCCACACCAACTGTCCTCTCCATCAGGGCAGAGATGATGTTGTGGTTTTTCATCAGATGACGCAACATGGTAAAGAGTTGCCTTGATGGCTTTGGCCATTTTGGCAACATCATCCAAATTCTCTCTTACTGCCAGACCATAATAGTTCTGTAAAACGTCTATTTTACCATCTGTTAGCCTTCCTTTACCTGCCAAACCTTTCCCATCACTCAGCTTTGTGCCTTTATAGGTATTCTTCAACCTCCGTAACCTGCTACCGACTCGCTTTTGGACATGTCCGATGCACTCCAATTTCTTTGGCACACACTCATCCCCATAAGGCTTGCTATCAACAATAGTGCTGTATGTGGCAGAATCACCATCCCCTAGCATGTCCTTGTATTTAAGTCCCCGTTCAACATAGGACCGTTCAAAAATCCTCACAGCACCAACCGTTTCCATGCTGTTTGCACTTCCTGTGTGGTTGATCTTGCAGTGATGATTTGCCTTCCACTCTTCATATCCCGGCTCATTCACCTTCTTTTGCCATTTTTGACATTGTTGACACTTGTCAGACATTACTTCAACATCAACACATTTCTTGGTGTCCAACGATATAGCAGTCACCACGCCATTGTGCGATGAGTGACCTCTCTTCTGCCAACTGCCATCCAGAGATATACCACATTCTCCTTCGTCACTTCCACTCCTCTCTTTGACCTCCATTGCACTAGTGTTCATGCTGTCATTTGCCAATTGTTTGACGATTGGTAAAAGTTTCTTATTTTGAATCTTAGTAAAGTTGCGGCGAGTTGGCGGTGAAGGCATATTCAAAATTTTGGTGAATGTTGTCATGGCAGTGTGGCCTCTACCAATTTCTCTGAAAGCCAGTACTGCTCTAACATTAATTTCAAAGGAATGTCCTTGTTTCTTCGATGTATTGAAACAGTACTTCCACTCACATTCCAAATTTTGACATTCCAAAACAACATAATTGGAAAAGCCATTCTTTTTCTTCATGTCAACATGGGAACTCATGTTGCCACCACATTCAGGGCATTTTAAAATGTCATCGAAAACACCAAATAGAACAGACAAGTCCATAAATATTGTACCTGCAGTCTTCTCTGTGTTAATTTTCTCAGTGGAAGCTCCAAAATTTGCACTTTGGTCACCTATTTTAGCTCCAGAAGGTCCAGAGATCTCATCATTGGGACCGCCATCTTTAAATTTTTTCGCTGCTTTTGAGGGTGGAATTCTGGCCCTTTTTCTTTTTCTATTACGATTATTTCCCATTGATATAATAACACTAAGAGATTGATAGTACTAATCAACCAGAAAATGCTACTTTTCGAATCAATAAGATGTAAAATAACGAAGATTATTGAAGAGAATTGACACGCTGTTGTAAATATTTTTAGACTGCTCACAAAATTACTTTTCATAGCTATGCGACCACCCCTCCCAAATAGACCAATCACAATAAAGCTAGATGAAAGTCCTAAATAACATACATCAAAAGTAGAACTGAAATAGAACTCGTTTTGTGGCAGTATTTCATGCAAATTTGGCTTGAAAACTCGTTGCTAAGGAGATTATTTCAAAATAATATCAATTTTTTGCTTTTTTCGCCCGGATAAACGAAATATTTCATAAAATGAGCAATGTTATCATAAACTACAGTAGTTAAAGTACCTTAAAAACATAAAATTTTTTTTTTCAATTTTTCTTTAAAAATCAGTTCTAGAAGGGGTATGACCACCTTAAAGATTATCTTGAGTCCATGACTTTATTTTTTTATATTTTTTTTATATTCAATCTATCATATAGGATGTAGACGTAGTAGGTAAGGACTGTCCAATTTGTCCAAAGTATAAATCTATTATGGCAAATTATATATTAGAATCATGTACTGCATTTAACGACACATCTCTTTTGAATTTTATGCTTTAAGAATCAGTTAAGTTTATATATTCTAACTAGTATATTGCTATTTGATGAAGCCATATTTTAGTATTTATTTAATTTATTTTGAGGAAGGTTTGAAAACTTTAAATTTTACCCGGAGGAAATTTGAACAGGTTTTGCAACTCTGTAGCCATGTAAAATGTACAGTATATATATGTGCAGATTATCAGGTGCTGTAAATCCCGCAACTTAAAATGCGGTAACTTTGTTCGGCAACTTGAAACGGGACAAATGTAATTTTGTAGTACGTCTCTATTTCTACAAATTTTAGCCTTACCTTGATTCCCGCAACCTGATCGACATTACATAGTTCATTGTAGACCTCATCACGTAACTAGAATGTAAAAATAAAAACAATTTTGCTAAAGGTTTTAACTGGGGTTCAGTTTTTATATCATGAACGCCCAGCCACGTCGTCCTCTGTCGTCCGGGTGAAGCCCATCCTACAATTTACATGCATACGGTATAGCCCACTCTATAATGTGTAGAAATATTGGGTCGAAAGGTTTTTGTAGGCGGAAATTTCGAGTGTAAATTTTATACATTGTTAGATCTAACCAGGAGCAGCTGTGAGTATTAGGCTGCGTCCAGACTGGGTGCCCGTCACTTGTTTTGGTACCTAGTTTGAACATGATGCTTCCAAATGAAATTGGGCACAGTGCCCAAGAATGGGCACTACCTCAAGAGGCAGTACTCAACAACGGCACTGTGCCCAACATGTTTTGTGAACCATTTTGAACGTTGGGCACCAGTGCCGGACACTCAGTCTGAATGCAGCCTAATATTGGCTCATACATATACCTGTTGAAATGTAACAATTTGTTTATGACTTGCAGCTTGAGCTTCAGAAAGCATCAATTTGAGATCACAACCCTGAAATTTAGCAAACTATTATTAATATAAACATAAATACTTTGCATCTTTGCATGGTATGAAGCTTTTTTTAGCGGAGAAAATATCTGCAATGTATCATTCGAGTTTATGCGCTATAAATTGATGTTATGTGCTATACATTGATGTTATGTGCAAATACATCAATGTCATAAACCGATACAACTAAAAGATAAACCGATACAACCAAAAGATAAACCGATACAACTAAAAGATGAGGAAACGGAAGTAAATACAAATAAAAGTTTGAGTGTTTTAACAATAATTATTATTAGCATTACAAAATTACTGGATGCTGATTGGTTGAGAGGAGTACAATTATTTCATTAATTGTACTGCAGTACAATTAACGATTTTCCCAAAACAAACAAAATGGCGGAAAGGTATTTTAACACACAAACGTGAACTGAAATTGCCCTAGAGGACACATTTTGCTTCAACAAAGAACTAAATGAACATATGAACAAAAGCACCAAATTTTGGTTGAAAGTCTGGCAGGACTGGACTTTGGCGAGAGAATATGATGTTGACATTGATAAGTATCCAATTTTGTCATACTAATAATAAACAAGTAATCATGCGATGTTGCTATAGTACTCGTGATGTTTGGAAATTTGCCAAATTGGACTCGTCCCGGCGGCTCGTCCAATTTTGGCAAAATTTCCAAACATCACTCGTACTATTAATCCCTAATTGTACTCGCCATCGCATGATTACCTATACGAATCACCGAATCATACACACATTATTTATACACAGACGCATTATTTGGTACAAACAAATTCTTAGTTCGTGGTATTCGGAAACGAGAATTCAGTTCTTCGGGTAACGATGTGAACTGCTGCACTGAACTCTTGTGATACTGCGTTCGGGGTTCTAATGCGACTGTGTAATCTTATTCCATGCTCAGCTAAATTAACAAGTCATCTATTCGCTACGTTACTTTGGCTCAGTACTATGGTCAAAGTTGCATAGCGATATTAAAAGCTCATCCAGCATTGCGATATTCAAGAACATGATTCGCAAATTAGACATTGAAAGTATGCTGGACAATAACTGTAATTGCTGCATTTTATGCAGCACTTAGCACTTATTATCTTTACATATATATTTATAAAGTAGATTATAGTACTGCATGATATTATAGATAAATATAGTGTCCCGAATTAGCTACTATTGCTAAATAATGTATAGACACTTTAATAAAGTTTATTATTATTTATTATTTATTATTATTATTACTCACGTGTTTGCGAAGAATGCTGTAAATTGGTCACCGCGCTTAAAATCTTAAACATCTGAACAAAATCCTGAACATTTGATATTCTGCCCTGTCTCTCTTCTGCCATGTTTTTCAATATGTATTCACTAGCTTGGCGCCACTTGGCACGCACGATTTTGCCGAGTCGCTCTACTTCCGTTTTTCCAATTTACTTCCACTTCCTCATCTTTTAGTTGTTTTACTTCCGTTTTCTCATCTTTTATTTGCATTTACTTCCGTTTCCTCATCTTTTAGTTGTATCGGTTTATCTTTTGGTTGTATCGGTTTATCTTTTGGTTGTATCGGTTTATGACATTGATCTATTTGCACATAACATCAATGTATAGTACATAACATCAATTTATAGCGCATGAACTCGATTGATACATTTCAGATATTATGTCCGCTAAAAAACTTCATAGCATGGTGATACAGTATATAAATACAATCCAATATACTGTATCACCGTGAAAAAATACATTTGTTTTTGTATTCACCATCGAAATAAGAAATTTCGATGGTAAATAAGAAGATTCAAAACATCTTCTCAAACGTACCTTTTCAGTATGTCTGATATTATGGTTACACCGTATGTAAAATCAACATACTAGTACATTACATGTCAAATTGACTTACTCTCCTCAAAGCATCCAAAGCACTTGCTGGTCCACTGGTTTTCATTCTAGGAACAACATAGAATGAAATACAGACATATAATCAAAACAAACATTGTGTTTGCCTTAATGTCAAGGTGGAGAACAGGCAAGTTTTTGCATTTCACTACAATACAATTTTGAATTGGTGACCAGTTTTCCATCACAGTCTGTCATTTTGCCGGGACATTTTTGCGTTTTTTTCATTAGCATAGTCATGGGGTCCTTGTCGAAGAGTCCGGTTTGTACAAGCCATGCCTTTTTGGGTAAATATTTGTTCTGCTATATATTCTAATATTTGTACAAAATATTGTATAACATACTGTAAATCCAAATAAATTTGTGAAAAAAATACAAGTAGTAAACACTTCTTTTGCTATCAGGGTTTACTTATGCGTTAACAGTCTTTAAAATACTCATTAATAATTCATAAACCTTCTGGCAAATCATGTCAGCCATAATATGTCACGTGGAGTGACTTTATATATCTGATAAAACAGTGCTGCTCGTGTTTTAAATAGTAGCAAAGTTAAATTTAATGCAGCAAAATAGAATACATACATGCAACAACTCCTCTCCCACATTTTCCAAACATTGTTTCAGCTTGAGTAAGCAGAATAGCGTAAATTTCGATCGCTGCTGCTCTATCTTTACGGTATCGAGCACTCTTTAGCATTGTGGGAACCAAAACACACTTAGTCTGGTACATGGTTATATATTTGCATACCTTACAAAATGGCATCTTTGAATATTTAGTTTTCTTGCAAATTTATTCGCCGCTTGTCGAGATCTGACGTCATTTCTAAACCATAAAATAATCTTTCCAAATTGCTCTAGATGAGGAAGGACCTGAAATAACATCAAAATATGAGTTGATGAATAACATTAATAGTAACCTACGGTATACATTTATTTAAACCAAGGGCCTTGATGACGCGAGGGAAAGGCTTTTACCTTAGAGCACTGGTTCGTACAAGCTAGGATGAGTTTAAAATGCAAGGACTTTCAAGGCCATATAGTACATGCAGTATCAGGGAATTCAAGGCTGAAAAGGAGGCGTTGGGAATCAGTAAAAAGTTACGTAAGGGTTACACCGTTCAACGAACAAAATCAATTAAAAAATCTCCGTTTTTTAAGACAAACCATTTCAGAAAATATCTAAAAACTAGAGCATAAAGAATGAGATAATTTCCGGACAAGGGCCTTCGCTCGAAACGTCGAAGTTTTGCTTGTATTTTTCAGATTTACTGTATTTCTCTTAATCCGCCTGTCTTGAAGAATTAAAAGACTTTCAAACACTTCTTTATAAACTCAAGGACTTCCAAGCGTTGAATTCAAGGAATTTCAAGGACTCTCAAGTTTTGTCCGAAACCTGTTTTCGCCTCTGTTCCTTTTAAATAAATAAATCTCAGTTACACGAAGGCAGGGCAGACCGCGTCGAGGAGAGATGATTTATGTTCAATCATAGAGTAGTGTTGTCTTTACTCCATGTTTACATGAAATTGCGTTTAAAATATTATCGGACATAGGTCCAAAGTCATCACGCTAGTTAGGACAAAACAACCATCACTAAGCCGGAGTGAATTTCGAGCGCGGAAGCGTAACAGCTTTAGGAAAAAAACAGACGCATGGAAATACACAAGTAGAAATTGTGGAAGAGTTTTGTAGATGGAAATTTGGAGGATGAATACGTTTATTAGACCTAACCAGGAGCAGTTGTGAAAAATGTAACTCTAGACCTTCTGACAGGAATCCAACCTGCGGTCATGACTCTCCAGGTAGTCCAGATTTATCCCGCAAGGAAAGTTGACAGATAAACATAATCGAACATCAGCCCCCAATAGGGATTAACCGAATTCTGTCTCTATTTGAAATACAGTAAGGTGGAAAACCGCACATTACAACTCGATAAATGTACACGACAGGTGCTACTCCACCATTATGCACTTTAAGTTTTCGAGGCCGCCATGTTTGCTTTTTTGAGAATCATTTTAACTCACTACCATATCGCCGGCAAGCAATTAGAAAAGCTAGTCACACCTTTTGCAATGTCATTGAGACTTATCAAACCATCCAGGTTGATAATCACAGTCGAATATGATAGAAGGACA